CCTTGTCTGGTTTGTGTTCTCAGCTGGAATATGTTTAATTTTCATGGTTCCCACATGTCCCTTGTTAAAGTCTTTGATCACCTGTTCCCTGTATTATTGTTCTATAATGACATATTTTCTTTTCCTTCTTGAGTACGGGAAATTCACTCTGTCCTTTTTACCTTGGACATCTCCCATACTCTTTACCCCCAGGAACAAGTTGATTTTATTCCCCAGCTATTTCTTTCTCCTCAAGACTTGGCTGCCTGGGAGGGTGATTTGTTTTATCCTGTTACTCTCCTTTCCCTGTATGATTGTTCCAATCCCAATCATCTCCTCTGTCCTGTATGGGCAGTTCATTGTTATTTTGCCCTTAATGCTACCTTTTGAGGAAACCAATTATACATTTTCTTACCTTGGGAATCCTCTTCCTCTCATATCTTCTTCAATTTGACTGGCTGGGTTAAACAGCTAATTCAACTAGTATATTATGCTGTGGATAATGATGATTTTGTCTTTTTCAAGCTTCCTCCCATAAACTCTTATCATTTCTTGACTTCTCTTGCCTCTATCTGTCAGTGTCTCCTGGATGAGATCTTGCAGATGAGGATGTGGATGACCTTCAAAGGCTTTGGGTCACATTACTTATGCCATGTTGTAGTTTCATATGGCTCTGACTTTTGTCTCCCTCCATGCTCTAAGAAGGTGAGTGGTTAATGATTTTTTTTTTTTTTTGCAGCTCCAACAACCACCTTGTTATTTCATCACTTAGCTAATGTTGCCTCATAGAGAATAATGCTGTCTTTCAAAATCCACATAGAGTGGGGATAACAGACAGTGTTCAGCCCATTTTTCCCCACTCTGGCATTCTCCTCTATGCAAATTCCTCCCTTCCATTTTCTCCTAGTGGAGTAAATGGAAAAACCATTGTTTTCCCAATGCCAGGTCACAAGAAAGGTCAGTATGGAGACTGCCTCTGGGTCAGTGTAATCTCAGTAATATGAGATGGAGTAGATACACTTCTGGATGAGAAGTAAGACTGAGGTGTTTATCTGGAAGTGTAGTACAGACCACCCCTACACTATGAACCACATCTTTCCCAGCATTAATGACAGCTGGATAGATTTTGTGTCCATCTCTAGATTCAGGTTTGACATGATTCTTCACTGAACCTGCTTATTCTAGTAAGTATTTCACAATTTTCCTGAATATGTATGGCCTCGCTTATTGTCATAAACATACTTACTGTTGCGTCAGTGAGGTCACGTGAATTATCGGGAGACTACTAGATTGGGGGTAGTCTGATATATATAAGATGGTCACAACGTGATGGAACAGTGTGTGTAATTGAACTGCGGAGAGAGAATATTATTGTGCATGTGAGACGTTCGTTGAGAATTATAGCGTTTGTTATAGCGCGACTGTTGAAATTAAGTGTATCGTAAAGTTGTATTCGGAAATAATAAACCAGTTTTATTAAGAAAGGACTTGTGTCGCTAAAGTTTCGTCGGAACGAAGTTACGGAAAATGAACTAACGACTGGAGGCATAACACTACCATTATCTATACCAGTCCTTCCACTATCTTATCACAGTGGGATTCTATCTCACTTCTACAGAGACGTGAGTCGCATTTCTGAAGTTAACATTTTTCTTATTTGAAAATATCTTTCAGATAGATACTCTCCCTACTTCTGTTTTATATTTCTCTTACCTCATCAAGAATTATCCTTTTTTAAGGCACAAGTGCTGGTATTATTTACTGTGCATAGAGATTATGTTTCTCTCCTATTGCTGATTTCATGATAAACTGGTGCAGTTGAATGTGGAAAATAATCTTTTGGCAGAGGCAAGAGGTAACATCTATCACATTTGTGGAGAGGTATATTTATCTGAAAGACAATTTCAGGTAAGAAAAAGATAACACTTAAAAGTTGAATATATTTTAGAAATGTTTATAGTTGATTGTTTTCACTGTTACATTAACTTAATTTTGTTTGTTAATCAGTTTAATATATCATTAAGTTACATGTATAGTTGCAAATTCTCAGTACATTACAAGCATTTTACAACTAGCTGAATCTTCATAATCAAGTAGCAAGGAAAACAGTCAATTTTTTTAAAATTAACTCTTCTAAACGTTTTATAGGTTTTTAACCTTTATGACAAACAAACAAATTTTATTTCCCTAAGAGAGGTACCAGCATTGAATGTATTTGTTCTGTGGTAAAGGTCAAATCAGGATTATATTTTAACAGAACTTTTAAACTAGAACAAATGAATGGTAATATGGCAAGAATTGGCAATTTATAAAAAAAAAATAAGCTAAAAATTCAATCTTTTTATGAAACTTTCAGAAATTATATTATGTTTTCAACAAAGTTAAGTAATTATAATTTATTCAATACACTGTCTTACTGTATCTTGTTTCATCATTTTTATTTTCAGTGGGTGCATTGCATTTTCAACATTTGCCATAAAATCTGGTTTCTTTGCAACTGCTGCTGTCTATGGTTTTCTATCCAGTTGTGGCCTTGGATTTGCTTATGTTGCTCCACTTGCTAATGGAATGAAGGTGAATTAAGTCCTGTAAAATGTTGTAAATCTAAAGCTATTTTACTTTCATTTTATCTAAATGTAATTCATGCTTATTTATTTTGTAAAAAGTTTGCAGAAATTTGATAATTTTGTCAGGTTTTTGAGCTATGGTATGATATTATTCTAAATACTTTATTAACTCTTTCAGCATGGGTTCGGTCCCTGGGGCCAACCTCGTAACCAATTTGTGATTGTTATAGTTTTCATGCTATAACTTTTAAATTAGTAAGCATATGTTAACGAAATTTGGCACATTATCAGTAAACATTCTAATGCTTTCATCTGCAAAATATAATTTTTTATTGAATTTTCAGGTTTGTTAAGCAATGTTTTTCTCATGTCTTTTTTTCTTTTTAAGATTAAGAATACT